TTCATGGCTCTGTAAACAAATAAGAATAAGGCTATGAAAATTATGCTTTGCCTCAGTGATGATGATATTATAATGAGTAATTTACATTAAATTACTTCTTGGAGGGGTAGTAATATATATATATATATATATATAAATTAGAGAAGAGAGGATGTGACAAGTGGGGTCTTATTGTCTATTTCATGGCTCTGTAAACAAATAAGAATAAGGCTATGAAAATTATGCTTTGCCTCAGTGATGACGATATTATAATGAGTAATTTACATTAAATTACTTCTTGGAGGGGTAGTAATATATATATAAATTACAGAAGAGAGGATGCCTTAAGAGTAAATGTCACAATTCTCACACTAGGGGAAATTCTAGATCTTTTTTTTTATATTGCCTTTTAAAAGTAAGAATTTAAAACTTATACACTATTAAAACATTGATTATTAGCTATGTTTTTATGCTATATTTATTGGTATACCATGAAAAAAAAGTATTTGAATTAAATTTTGAACTCACTAATAATTTGTGACGTGAAGAAAAAGATATTAGTGGCACGAGGGTTAACATATAATGGTTTCTGTGCATTAATTTATAAGTATAGAGAGTGTGCTGGTTTCTTTGCCTTGATCCCTGTTTGGGAATGAGTTAATTGATAAGTTTGTAAAGTTTGATGGTTTATTTTGTAGGGTTTTGGTCAGTACATATGTGTTTTTGATTACTGTTTTTTTCTTTTCTTTTTTTTCAGTCTGTTATGCTGCCAATTGTGAGAATGGAAAATATATCCAACCTATCTGTTAACCGGTATAGAGATTGCATGTTGTGTCTTCATTCCAATTCACTTCATAAAATATTTAACTTCTGTCACTTCTAACGATACTTTGATAAACATTACTTATACCAAGGTTAACTAAGCTCACTTCTTGAGTTACAAGTCAGTCTCTCAATGTCACGGTATTACAGATCTAAACTGATAACAAGAGAAATCTCTATAAAAAAAAAGAAATTAAACAATTTTTATGATTGCTGGACAGAATTGTCTATAAAAAGGTTGACATACAATTATAATTTCAAGTTTAAAATAAGGATACTGATTCTCCATCCTTGCATGCATGATGCTCCTACTTTTACAAACTCGTTCACACAACTTGACGTCTCTTTAGCTGTTACTGGTTCTGATAGCGTCTGGCCCATTCTCACTGACAAAAGAAAACATGTTATAAAGTTATGAAAATATTGAATAAAAGAACTAAAAAGTTTGGATATAAAAGCATTCTGAATTAATCAATGTTAATAATAATAATTTTACACTAATCTCCTGCAGATTACCTACCAGACAATTGTTATTATTAAAGTTCTTAACTTTATCGCATGTATGCGCCATACTAACAAGTCCTTTTTACTTTGAGTTCTCTGTGTCATACTAGCAAGACATTCTTAAGTTTGGATTCTCTGTGCCATACCAGCAAGTCCTTTTTACTTTGGGTTCTCTGTGCCATACTAGCAAGACCTTCTTACTTTGGGTTCTCTGTGCCAATACAGCAAGTCCTTCTTACTTTGGGTTCTCTGTGCCATACTAGCAAGACCTTCTTACTTTGGGTTCTCTGTGCCATACCAGCAAGTCCTTCTTACTTT